CACAACAGCCCACACACAGCAACAGAGATGAGAATTTGGCCTCATGCCGGTTCATCTGAGCTGTATCTGTAGAAACACTGAAAGATAGAACTGTAAACCATACCAGTATAGAATTAAAACAGACCCAGGGCTAGAAAAATCCTTTGGTCTAGTTGAGGACCTGTTTAGGTCCTAAAGAGAAGGCAGTTTCCACCCATATCCTGGCAAGAGGAGCCTAAAAATAGGGTTTGATTTTAGCTAGTCTGACCTCTGCATGAAGAACATCCATTTTGCCTCTTGCATGTTTTCCAGGTGATGACAGTCATTTCAGTGACTGCTGTTGTACCAGCTACAGGCAGCAAAATTGGGCCAGCCAACTGTGGCTGGAGTTTGTACCAAACTGTTGGGGCAGGGTTTGCTTCTGAGGCTCCTGCTCAAGTCAAGGGAGGCAGGTCACACTCTGACTGACTGCCTGGAGGGAGCTCAGCTGCAAGTTGATCTCCTTGATGGAGGTGTGCAATAAATAATTAACTTCCAACCACTAGTTTTGTCATCTGTGCAGCTGGATCAGAGCAGGTCTTGTCAAGGGCCAAGCACTGAGCAACAAACTTTGTGTTAAAAATCCTAGGTCACGCATTCAGGAAAATAGATGATAGTAAGTTGGAGAGAAAGAACCACATCCCTTTTCAAGCAGGGAGATGTTGTTAGCTCTAAAGTAGATTACTTTTTCCCCTCTCTTGCTCACTGGCTTTTAATTCTTCCTTTCCCCCCCCTCCCGCTATGTGCAGCTCTCATGAACTTGGAGCTGAACTGGAACTGCTTGCATTGTCATGTCTTATTTAATTGTGCAAATTGATTTCTATTCCAAGGACAAGTAAATGTGGAAATGGAAAGGATTAGAACTGTTGGGATAAGCGATCACTCTTTCTTTTAATTTTTGGGTTTAGCATAACAATAGCTACTATTTCAAAAGCAGTCCCTGGCTCTGCCCTGTCACCCTCTCATGCAGGCAAAGTGCTCGCACAGGGCCTGAGTCTCCCTGCCTTCTCCTTTGAGATAGATCCAAAGTCCATTCATCAGCAGGAATCATCCATAAATCAGCTCAATGAGCTCTGGGCTGAGGCTTCTTGTGCAAATAAGAATAAATGGCACGGGTGGAAAGATGCCATCAGGAAGGAATATCCCTGTCAGAAGACTGGGTCTCCTTTTTAAGTCCTGCATAACAAAGAAGAAACCAAGTAGAAAAAAAAATGACCATACACCCCAGGTCTGTCTAAAGACAATGCAAGCACCACAAACTGTCTTACTAAAGCAAGCAATAAAATGGACATTATTCCAACAACCTTTCAGCCACCTCTTAAATTAGTATTAACTGTTGGATCATTGCTCGGGCTCACCTAGTACTTGAATTGTTGATCTGTAGTTTCCGTGGTTTTGAAGTGTTTCTCTGCTCATTGGGGTTTATTTTCTTCTGCAAACTAAAGAAAATATTTTGTTCCTTAAACCCATCCAAATACTGCCATGTGTAGGTAGGTGTTTTTCAGGTCATTTGCAAAGATTGAGAGCTTGCCAAGCAAATCATTTCCTTCCTGATTTCTGTTGATAGGGTAACACAATAGGAAAGAGAAAAAATAGCCAAACCAGGTGGAAAAAATTCACACCCTTTTTTTTGGTGTAATGCTTCTGCTTGATTGAATGGCAGCATGGTGGACCATTCCATAAGAGCATTTCTGTTGGGGCTGTTGTAATGGAGCAAGTGAGATATCAACAGCATCAGGCACGTGGGGCACTGGCAGTCCCTGGGAGCAGCTCCCATTACTGCTGGGGGGCTTTTACGGATGGGTTGAGAGCAGTGCCCTGCCATTAGTGTTTAATTTTTTACAGGTGAACGTGCACCATCTCTGAGTGTAGTCACATGCAAGAAAGATGGGTGAAGATAACAGTTCACTACTATCAAAGTCCAGGAGTGGCTTGACATGCAGCGATGCATCGCTCGTGCTTGGCTTTACAGTAACTAGGCTGGCAAACATCTTGATTGGTGCAAACAGTGTGTGTTAAGTGTTGGAGTGTCTTTGTACCTGGGGAAAAACCTGTTGGTTTTTGAAGGGATGGTGTTGCTGACTGGATTGGTGTGCTGGATAGAAGAAGTACACTGGTGCTGTACCTTGGTTAGGTTAATGAGCGGACTCGATGATCTGAAGGGTCTGGCCAAAATGCTCCTGTGGTGACACTGTGCCAGATCTCTGCAACAGAAGGAAGGGCAGTTTTCCCTCTGTGCTAGGCACACCTGGCTGGGTTGGGCTCTGGTTCTCCTGTGTGCTGGGTCAGGTTGGGGCTCTCCAAACCAGACCTGGCATTTCATGTAAACCTCTCTGGGTTTTGGGGAGGGGTTTTTTTGAGCACCAGCTGCCAGACTTGAGTGCAAGCCTGGATGGGGTGAGAGCAGTGCCCTGCCATTAGTGTTTAATTTTTTACAGGTGAACGTGCACCATCTCTGAGTGTAGTCACATGCAAGAAAGATGGGTGAAGATAACAGTTCACTACTATCAAAGTCCAGGAGTGGCTTGACATGCAGCGATGCATCGCTCGTGCTTGGCTTTACAGTAACTAGGCTGGCAAACATCTTGATTGGTGCTAACAGTGTGTGTTAAGTGTTGGAGTGTCTTTGTACCTGGGGAAAAACCTGTTGGTTTTTGAAGGGATGGTGTTGCTGACTGGATTGGTGTGCTGGATAGAAGAAGTACACTGGTGCTGTACCTTGGTTAGGTTAATGAGCAGACTCGATGATCTGAAGGGTCTGGCCAAAATGCTCCTGTGGTGACACTGTGCCAGATCTCTGCAACAGAAGGAAGGGCAGTTTTCCCTCTGTGCTAGGCACACCTGGCTGGGTTGGGCTCTGGTTCTCCTGTGTGCTGGGTCAGGTTGGGGCTCTCCAAACCAGACCTGGCATTTCATGTAAACCTCTCTGGGTTTTGGGGAGGGGTTTTTTTGAGCACCAGCTGCCAGACTTGAGTGCAAGCCTGGTCAGTTACTTTATTTTGAACACCTCCTGTGTGACAGGTGTCTCTTCAAAGATTCCTTTGCATTTCCTTCTTTTGCCATCTAACCTTCCTTTGTGAGGCTGGCCAGAGGAGAGACACCTGAGCCTGTGGTTCCATTTGGAGCTCTGCCCTTGCACCACAACTTTGCCTTCAACCTCACTTGAGCCCTGTTGAGGTTCTCCCCGTCCTTAATTTTTCCTTGAGCACCTGCTTCTTTTGGAAGTTATTTAAAAGGGGAACTTAAGTGACTGACTGAGGATGCAGAGAGGGGGGGAACTAGCTGAAGGGCTGAGGTTAGCAGTTTCTCTTCAGGCTGGTCTTCCTCTCACCTTTAAGTTATTTTTGTGCACAGTTGGCTTCCCACATGGATTGGCACGGAACAAGTCGGGATAATGTCACGGTTGCCCACGAAGCCATGCCAGCATGAGAGCACAACCTTGCCAACACAGGGGCATTGATTAGTGCAGAGGAACTAGGGCAATCCAATTATAACCACAAATGCCATTGGCTTTCTCAAATTCTTAGTCAAATAACTGCTGACTCTCTGCTGTATTAAGGTGGTCTGGAGTGTATCAAGAAAGGGAAATTCAAAGACTTAGGTTGTGCAGAGTAAACAAAATTTAATTCTGAAATAACCCCATTGCTTACTTACACATAGGGCAAAAAGAGCATTTTCCACATGGGTAGAAGCTGACCAACCTCCTCTGCTTGCCTTGATATTAGAAAAAGTATTTCATATTTCTTTTTTTGGACATTATTGCAACATAACCGGAAAGGAAACTACACAGGAAAAATAGCTGACAAGTTTCCTATCACTTCAATCTTGTTTGAACACTGAATATTCCTTTGTTCCCTAATATTATGCTTCCTCTAACCTACTCAGTGGGTCAGATAAGGAAACGTGATATTTTTCACTACCATGACGAAGTTGAACTAAAGCTACAAAGAACGTGAGGGTTGTAGCCTGGAGTCTTAGATGAGTAGTTCAGATCTGGCTTGATATTAAATGCAGAAACGAACAGTCTCTCATGGATGAATCACGTTCAATTAGCTACTTCCTATGATGAACTGATTAAAAATTAAGTGGCATCAAATAAGACTGATTTTGCTCCTGCGTTTAAATAATGCTATAATTACATACTAATCAGATGGTAAATCTTAATTGTACATGTTCCATATGTTTTATTTGCCTGTTCTCCTGCCTCACTTTGTCGTCTTTGTAGCAGCATGGAGTATATTTCCAGGCTGCTTTTATGTCTGGCCTAATTGAATATCAAAAGCAGTATATGTGAAACTTCCTGAATTCTATTCTTTAGCCAGTGGCAGCTGTGCTATTAGATGACCTTTACCATTCCCATAGCACAGAATAATAAAGGGAGGGGGGGAATTGAAGGCCAGCCATGTTATTGTTAGAGACAGAAATAAATCATATATAATTGCTTCGCTATGAAGGCCAAATCCTGCCGTCCTTCATGCCTGAGTTAGAAATACAGGATTTGGACTTTTGTTTCCTGTGGTTTCCTGGCCACCTTGGACGTGCCCAGAATCCTCAGGCTGCCTCAGCAGTGGCTAATTACCACGGGCAGGCTCGGGTCGTGTTGAGCTGAGCTGCAGCCCGGGCTCCAGCCCTCCTGTGCCGGCACAGAGGCAGCTCTGCCGTGGGAAAGGCTGGACCTGGGTGTCCACCTTTAAGTGCTCTTGGCTTCAGTGAGATTACTTGAAAGATTAAGAAAGCCTTATGTGCAGGACAGCCTGTCCTCTCCCCCCATGTAAGACCAAATGAACCTTAGATAATTGTGTGGTGGGCTTCCGTATCACCCTTCTGCTTCAGGCAGCTGTTTGGAACAAGCCCACTGACTCTTGGTTGAAGTCAACAGGTACTTTGCAAACATGTGTTTTGACATAAAGTGCATTAACTCTATTCACTCCAGAATGTGATATATTCACTCCTTTATGCTTTTGTCTGCTTTTTAATCCTAGATCACGAGCACAGTCACAAGAAGAACAAGCGGAAACACTGGAGAAGACAGTGGGCAGAAAGCAGCTTATTATCTGATGTGGAGATGTTAAAACACAGCCTGGAAGTGAACTCCTTCTCTGCAGACAGCAACAAGACTGGGAACATCAGTGAAAGGAAGAGCCACAGGAGGACCAAGCGGTTTCTCTCCTACCCTCGGTTTGTGGAAGTGATGGTGGTGGCTGACAGCAGGATGGTCGCCTACCATGGAGCTAATCTGCAGCACTATGTCTTAACGTTAATGTCAATAGTGAGTATTCAGCTAGAAGGAGTAGATTTCACCCAGGGATCATTTTCTAGTGGTTCCAGTCCCCTTCCTGCTGCGTTCTTACGCAATATCATCAGTTTCCCTTGGCCAGGCCTGGAGAAAACGCTGGGATTAGAGCAAAGCTTGGTGAAACATGGCTGGGGAGCATTGGCTGGAGTCTCCTTCCTTCCCAGACACATCATGTTTCCTAACCCCTCCCACGCCACTCCCATCCAGCTTTCTGGAACCCAGACAACACGAGAACTGTCCACACACCAGTGCTGCTCTTTTTATTTAGGCCCACATGAAGCAGCAGCTGAACTACAAAGGTGCTTTGGGAACTGTTCCTTCCAAGGGACTGGTGCTCACAGGTTCTGCTGTTGCCTGACTTCCTGTGCAAGGAGGAGTCTGGGGTCATCTTGATGCTTGGCATAGTGCTAGGGTTGGCTTTGCAGGCTGAGAAGAATCATTTTAGTAACTGCTGGTGCTATGATGCAGTAATGCAGTCCCCAAAAAGGCAGCTCTGTGTGTGCAGAGTGACTGGAAGTGAGTATCCAGCATAGCAGTGTCACTGGATTTTCATTCAGTCTGGGGGTAGAAGTGCAGTGAAGATGTGGTCTAAAAATGTCCATGTCAAAATGAGGCACTTGAGAGAATTAGTTGCCTTTGACAGTCTTGGTCAGTGGTCATTGTATCTCAGAGCAGAGTGATCCTGCAATTTGGTGAAACGTGTGCTAAAGCAACAGGAAATGCTGAGTTTCTGTGACACCAGCAGGTTTGTTTCATTCCGAAGTTGTGCTTCTGGCAGGAGGTCTCTCCAAGTAGCATCAGAGTGCAGAGTGGGGCAGAAGAACAGCTCAGGAGAGAAAGAGCTGCAAATTGGAAAATATGTGTGTTTTCTTGGTTTTCTTCTTTCCAAGTTAGCAACAATTCTGAATTTTTTACTATTTTTTTTTTTTTTAAACAGGTGGCTTCTATCTACAAAGACCCAAGCATTGGAAATTTAATTAATATTGTTATTGTGAAATTGGTTGTGATACATAATGAGCAGGTAATGGAAGTGGTTTTGTTCTGACACTGGCATTTGTAGCAAGCCTTGGGATGCGTAATTAAAAGACCTGCTTTGTGTGTTGCTTATCAGGATGGTCCTGCAATATCTTACAATGCTCAGACAACATTAAAAAACTTCTGCCAGTGGCAGCAATCCCAGAACCACCCTGAAGGAAGTCACCTTCGACATGATACAGCTGTGCTTGTTACCAGGTAAGGTGAATATTCTCATGGAAACTGTAGCCCGTCGCGTGCCCAAGGCTGTGAGCGTGTGATATTTCCAGCTGTGGGAAAAGCTGGGGTTTTGATGTGGGTGTAATGCAATGGTGGGAGCAGTGTCATGGTAGGCAGCACAGGGCTAGTGTGTCCACCATAGTGGCAGATGACTTTGAGAGGGTTTGGGGCTGCCCAAGGTCTGCTTAAGGGTTCAACAGAAGATGAAAAACTAACAATGGTAGGGAGCTGGTTCAGAGTCTTGATTGGATGATGTGGCAAACCAGCATGAGAAGGTCCAGTGGAGGACCAAGAATTGCTTTTGGATGTTGTTATTGCTGTGCTTGTACCTTAACTCACAGATGCATTGAAAATTAATGTGTCAGGTCTGTTCTTTCAGACAGGATATTTGTAGAGCGCACGACAAATGTGATACTCTGGGTAAGGACAACTTTTCTTTGTCTTCTAATCATTTTTTTAGTAGTGACAATGCTTGTTGTCTGTGTTGAACCATGGGCAACATTTCTTCTTCTCTTGTAAACCTCTTTGTTCTCTCCTAGGTCTGGCAGAGCTGGGCACAGTCTGTGACCCATACAGGAGCTGTTCCATTAGTGAAGATAACGGACTAAGCACTGCTTTCACAATAGCACATGAACTTGGCCATGTGTATGTTTTATGTAAATACATTTACATTGAAATAGCCCAAGCTTTATGCTAGCTAGGACTTGCCAGCCAGACTAGGACGTGGTGCCTGCTGAGCCTAATTATTTGAGATGAGAGAAATATACTTGAGTAGAGGAGGCACCACTAAGGAAGATTAGATTATGATGTGACTCTGGGAGGCAGTGGGGTGCTCCAGAGCCCATTGGAGAGTAGTAAAAACAGCAGACCTGTATTTTGGGAGGATGAGTGACTGAGTATCCAGCACCTAAGCAGGGGAGAAGAATTCCTTATTACTGCATCTTCTCATATCTACGTGCAAATGTCAGCAGGAGCTTCCCCAGCAATCATGATGTCTCAGAGGAGCCACTGGGACCAGGCAGGTTTTGGGCTGGGAGGAGCTGGGTGCCTCAGGAAGGACCAGGGTGAGGGGCATGAGCACATCTCACCTGGTCTTTGGGGCTGAAGTCTCCTCTGAGAACAGGTGCTGAGCCTGCCACAGCTCATCCCACCACTGTGCATGGTGCTGCTGAAGGCAGCACAGCAGCTGTGTGCAAACACAGGAATTTCCCCAGGGTGTCTGGCAGGTGACTGTGATGTACACCTGCCCAACTGCCAGACCATTTCATGAAGGCAAATCTCGTGCTGTTGGACATCCCCAGAAGAGGTGCTGTCATTCAAGATGCACCTCCTCCAATGGAAAATTCTTTTAACTGATTCTGACTCTTTTCAAGAGTGGTAATGAGAAAAATCATCTTAGGTCACATAGTCCTTTACCCACCAGCTACAACTCTTGGGCAGCTGGTTCAGTCCCAAACCACCTCATGCCTGGTTTCCAGCACAGCTCTGTAGGTGTGGAACAGATGAGTACCTAGGAACAGATCTCTCCTTGTTTCCAACTGCCTTTTTCTGCTCCAATTGCTGGCTGAGACAGTCTCTTTTTAACCCCAGTAGTGTCTGTTTAAACAAGCTTTCCCAACAGCATGTCCCCAAAGGTTTGGCCTTCCCCACACCTAACCTGTAGCTAATTCCTTCACTGATGCTGCCCCAGAGCTGCTGGAGGGGTTAGAGGCTCTCCCGAGCAGGAAATGCCTCTTTGCTCTTTTACAGGGAGCAGAGCATAAAGGTGGTTCATTGGAGGTAATCTTAATGGGATATAAACTCCCCAGCCTTCGGAGGCAGGATCACACCGGGTCATTTCCCCTTCTCCACTTCAAACAGCAAAGGCCTTTAAGCCCTTCTGTCCCCGTTAGCGTGTTTGCCGCATTCTTCAGCGTGTCATGTGCTGCAGCCTTCCCCTGGGTTTCTGCTGAGATTGATGCTTGATGGCATTTTGTAAACCTACCACAGAAAGCTTGGAAGCCAAGTCTGTCCCCAGCGCTGCCCTATTTAGGCAACAGCAGGAAGGATCAGCCTGGCCCGAGGCATTCAACAACATTAGAAGACGTTTGGCACCTGACGTAGGGTGCTACCCAATCTACACGAGGGACTTCGGGCACCCGTGGGCTCAAGTTATGAATTTCCTTGAGAAACTTGGCTCTTTGGCTCCATTCCAGTGAACCTGCCATTTTCCCAAAGGTGGGGCTGGGCTCCAGCCTGCCTGCAGGATCGCAACCATCGGCTGAAAAGGAAACTGTGGCTGAAATTTCATTTTACTCCAGGTTCCCTGCAGGATTTGTCTGGCTAAATATGTGCAGTGAGGGTGTGCAGAGCTTCCTGGGGTGCTGTGTAGCTTTTTGCAGACAAGAGCAAGGAACTCATGCTTGCTGACACTTATGAATATGTGCATATTAATACTTTTATTCTGTAATATCTGTCAGGAGCATATCTAGGAAAAATTCTTGGGTTTTTTTACATTTAGTTCACACTGTTACTTTTGCTATACTAAATCCTTGACACTTAACTGACTGTTTTTTGTTGCTGTGTTTCTCTTAGTTTTAACATGCCACACGATGACAATCATAAATGCAAAGAAGATGGAGGCAAAAATCAACAGCATGTCATGGCACCAACACTGAACTTCTACACCAATCCCTGGATGTGGTCAAAATGCAGTAGGAAATACATCACTGAATTTCTGGAGTAAGGCCTTGCATATGCATGTGTTAGGCTGTTTTCACATGTGCATGCATGCCATGGGGTTCATCAGGTAACCTGAAATCCTAGCATGCAGCATTTGGAGGAAATCAGAGGGATTTGTGCACACATGCATCCTTTACACAGACCAGGAATGCAGCCCTGGCATCCGGTCCCTGCCAGTTCAGCCTCGTGATAAGCTGGCAAGGACCAGCCTCTCTATGGGGAAGAATAAGTCTTCCCCCATGGATATTGCTTTTAAGGAATGTGTGTTCTTCTCCTCAAACCTGAAGAGTGAGTTTTCCAAGCCCTGTGGTGCAGATACGGAGCTGTGTTTTAGGAAGCAGATTGAATCTGCCTTTCTGCTCCACAGGTCAAGATAAAGAGGAATGCAGCCCTGGCATCCCCTCCCTGCCAGTTCAGCCTCGTGATAAGCTGGCAAGGACCAGCCTCTCTATGGGGAAGAATAAGTCTTCCCCCATGGATATTGCTTTTAAGGAATGTGTGTTCTTCTCCTCAAACCTGAAGAGTGAGTTTTCCAAGCCCTGTGGTGCAGATACGGAGCTGTGTTTTAGGAAGCAGATTGAATCTGCCTTTCTGCTCCACAGGTCAAGATAAAGCCTTGGCACTAGTCCATGGTGGGGAAAACACTTCCAGGAGCCCAAGGATCAGTTTGATGCCCTGTAATCACCTGTTTTGCTGTGATGCCTTCCCACATCTTGTGTTGGAGGAGCAGAACGAGACCCACAGTGGTGTCCTGGCAAATCCAGGAGCTTGGTCTCTTGGGTGGTGCATCTGCTAATCAATTCTTTCCTTTCTAAATATGTACCAGTGCTTGCTCAGGAACTAAATGCAAGTTGTGCATGCTCAGAAGTGTTTTTGTCAGGGTAGCTGACAGTCGTTAACCCAGGGATGGTGGTGATTTTTAAAGCAAGATCCTGTGCTTGGGTCTGCAGTAGGTGCTGTAGTGCTTGTTTAATGTGGCAGATGTGGGGCACAGCTGCCTTAAGGCTGGCTGAGATAAACACCAAAGGCTCATCACCTCCTGCTTAACCCCACGTTTCTGTTTTGTGTTACAGCACTGGTTATGGTGAGTGTTTGCTTGATGAACCTTCATCAAGAACTTACACGTTGCCTCAGCAGCTCCCGGGGCTGATTTATGATGTCAACAAACAATGTGAGTTAATTTTTGGACCAGGATCTCAAGTGTGCCCGTATATGGTAAGTGCAATTCCACACCTGGGTTTTCCTGGTGTTGCCAGAGCAAAATAAGGCCTCCTGGGGTTGGATGAACGGGAGGCTCACGAGCTGTCAAATTATTGTCAGGCTTGTGAGTTAATGATAAATCCTAGGGGGATGATTTCATAGAGGAGCATCTGTCTGGTGAGACACGTGGTTAATATTTCTTTCATGTTTTTTATCTCCTCAATAACTTAAGCAGATGCAGTGTCGGCGGCTTTGGTGTATCAACATCGATGGTGCCCACAAGGGATGTCGTACCCAACACACACCTTGGGCTGATGGGACAGAATGTGAGCCTGGGAAGGTCTGTAATACCCAGTGGTTCATGCCTCGTGGTTATGTTTCCCAGGGCTCAGGCTGACCTTCTTAGTCCAAATCATCCATCCCCAGTCCCATGGGGCAGAGCTGCTGACCACAAGGGTGGAAGCCCACAGCAGCTCTGGGCATTTCAAGCTTGGTATGCACGGGTTAACTCTACCCCAGATAATGTGATTAAAGTAGATTTCTTGGCATAACATTGCTTAAAGCAGGTATTCCTTCTGGAGTGCTTATCTTTTTAAATTACTGCCCCTGAGTGAACTCTTGAGCAAAACTTTTGCAAAGCTCCCCTAGGCTTTTATTAGAAACTTCCTATGTGATGTGAGCAATTAGTAATTTTGTGTAACGTGAACTTTGCCAACTGGCTTCTCATCTTGACAACTTTAGACTAAAATACAGAACTGGTTGACATTTTCTTTATGGAACAGTTTTGGCAGTAATTCATAGAAACTTCCCATTTCCATGTGCAATATTAGTTTCCAGCTAGTATTGTGGTTTCTAGAATAAGTATTTAGTTTTTAGTCGTCCAGATCTAGAGAAAAATAACAGAGAGGATTTTTCTTTTATTGACATACTGAAGCTTTGGAAGAAAAGTGCTAACTAATTTTCATCATTTTTGTGTCTGAACAAAAATATTTTCCATCTGGGTCTAGTAAAAAGAACAAGTGAGGTGTTTCTCTACAATCTGTAGCTTTAAAAATTGCTTTTCTGGCTATTAGTGATCAATAGTTACAGTTTTCATGAGAAAGAGTCAATCCTTTCTTTCATAGTCTTTCAAATATGTTCAAATAAAAATATATCAATGCTGTTTTAGATATAATTTTCCATACAGGCTATGGATTTCCTTGGTAATTAATCTTCTGTTGCATGTATCTGCAAAGTTAGTTGTTCAATGACACTTGACTGATTTCCTCCAAGACAGTGGGTGTGATTTGCCTCCCTTTCTTAGGGAAAAATGCCATCAACACATTTGTTTTTATTGTTGAGAATGCAGTAGAGGTCTAGTTGGAAATCCTATTCCTGTGCTACTCCTTGGAGTCAGTGGTGCACCAGCAGTTAGTGTTTTTATGTAAAGTCCCCCCCTTTTTGAGACTTGGGATAAAGTTTAGGCATATGAGGAGTCTGTGTGTCTTCAGCCTCTTGGTTGGTGAGCTTGGGTCTGCTCACCACTGGAGGCTCAGAAATCACTCTACTTTTGAAATTCCAAAACTCTGGACTGCAATTTTGTTCCAACAAACCTGCTGTTACCCTTGGATATGACCAGAGTTTTGTGCAAACAACTGCAATTGAGCAGCTTTAGCACCTCCTTAGAGTTGCCCTGCATCAGCCAAGAGCCCAGCTCCAGCTGCATGGCTCTTACTAGAGACTGTGTAAGCAAAAACATTGCAGTCCACAAATTTAGACAATTTGACAAGTTTAGACAAATTAGACAAGTGTGACCTGAGCTTCTCAGCTGAGAGCAGATGGGCTCTTAAGAAAAGCTAATGCAGACTGCTGGTGTTCAGGCATTAGAATGTATTCTCCCAGAAAGGCTTTATGGAGTAGTTCTTGTATTGTGTGTTGGTCTAATTTAAGTTTAAGGTTTGGATCATCATAAACTTTATCCTCCTCAGTGTTTATTTGGACTTAAAAAGTGCTGAGGTGCAAGTCTGGAGTGCTTTTCATTGGAATAAATCACTATTTTGGTACTCTGCTGTGGCCAGGAGCTCAATCAGACTGGTGCTTGCTGACTAATGCCTCAAGTCTGCATGTTTCAAGCCTGTGATATATGGGTTGGCAGATGGAGAAAATACCATGCTGGTTTTTTCAGAGATATCTTTGGAAATGAGGGAGCCTGAATAGCTAAGAAAAAATATAGGGATGTAGATTTAACCAGGCTCTAAATTTATTTTTAAATCAAGGACACTAAACCAACAAAGGACTATTAGCTTATGCATATTTTGCATGTGAGGACACTGAATTTGATCTTGCTAAAATAAACCCAGCCCAAGATTTGGCCTTTGCTGGGTGAGCACCAGTCGTGATGTTTTACAGTGTTTCACAGCAGCAGTGCATTGTCAGGTGGAAATAAATCACTGCAAGAAAGTAAAGGGGGTCATAAACTTGGGCCTCTGTCTCTTGTGGTTTTCAGGGTTGTTTAAAGAATGGTAAGACAAGAGGAGACAAACAGCGATCATTTCTGTCTCCTGCCGTATGGCAGCAGGTAGCACGTATGTTATGCATGCATGAAGCTTCACAGCACTTGTCTGCCCCCTGCTAATCTATTCAGCCAAAGTCAGCCCAAGGATGGGAGCTGGATTTGGTGAATTAACTGGGACTTCAGTGGGAAGATAAAGGAAAGGAAAGTCTGTTGTAGTGTCTCCCGTCCCTGTCATTGCTCTCCTGGGTGACTGTGAGCCTAACTTATTTTGAGCCTAACTTATTTTGAGCCTGCTCCAGACAAAAACTCTTTTATTCTCTTCACTCTCTGATCTGTAAGCTCATAGGAAAGAGAACCCTGGCAGGCTTTTTGGCTCTGATGTTGTAATTCAACTTAGAAATTATTTTTAAAATATAAAAGGCACGAAGGTTGCATAGCCAGACTATTCACAGCGCCGTTCCAAGCAACACCATTGCGTTTCCATAGGATAATCTGGGTGTTTATTTAAAACAGCTGCTGCTCTTTCTTCCTCCCCCCTGCCACCCTTTGATTTACCATCAACTCCAACCCCCTGATTTTTAATAAAATCAAGGGATGTAGGTGATTTCCTAGTTAATTCTCAACCATCGGATGGGAGACGTATAGGTCATGTCACGGTCTGTTAGCTGTGTACATTCACTAGTTAGCTATTCAGTCATCTTCCCTGGGTCAGTGGTGCCAAGCATGACTGTGGTTATATATTTAGCTGTGAGCATCAACAGTGCTGAGAGAAGTTCTCTACCAGGACAACACTCTGCTGGATTGGTGTCTTGTGTTTTTGTATGTTGCTGATAGCTGTCAGGACCTCTTGGTACAGGACTGGCTCAGGAGTCCCCATCCGGCAGTTTTTCTGCCCTCTAAATGCCAGGAGGAGTTGTGCATCATAAGGCTTTGTCCTGCAGCTAAAAAGCAGGCATTTCAGCTTCTTTTATTCCTGTCTTTTACTGTAGCAGGTATTTTTCATCCAGTTTCTGTCTGGGGTATCAAATAGTCAGATGAAAGTAAATCCAGGGCACGCTGTAGCTACAGACCATGCTCACCTCTGAGCAAACATCACTTTAGTCCCAAGCTACAAGTTGTTCAGCTGTCCTGCAAACCTTGCCCATAGGCAAACACACCCAAGATCAGCTTTTTTCATCAGCAGACCAATGTGACAAGCTGGCCTTCATGGGCAAAGGGTGCTAAATGTGTCGTAGAGCCAGGGTCCTACATGCTGGATGCACAACTCTCCTGATAGCTTGGTTTTGTTCTGATTTCCTGGGTAACTCTCTCTAAGGTGCTTCATAAGGGTGTCTAGAAAAGGGGGGGAATGAGCTCATGGTGTGTCTTGATAAAACCTTGTCCCACTGTTAGTGGAAGGACTGGAAAAACATAACACATCAGTAAACCAAACCCTTTTGCCATAAAGATTGTCAGGTGTTTGTTTCCCCTGCCCGAACAGCATCTGGTGCCAACAAATATTGCAGGGGAATATTTTAATGATGCTCTACCTGTTTTCTTCTTTAGGTCTGTAACCTATTCTAATTTGTGAGCAATCAGCAATGTTTGGGCTTGCTGTAATTGGAAAGATTTAGGTATTTGCCAGCATAATGAGCACGTCTCTGGGTTTAAACCTGCTTTAGCAAGCACCATTTGATGAGAGGGAAACCCCACTCTCATGGGTCTTAGGGGTGCTTTTCTGTCTGATCTGGTGCAATCAGAAGGTGATTCTTCCCTGGATCTCCTCTCTCCAGCAGTCTGTGTAGTCAAACTAGCAGACATACCCCAAAGGGACACCATTTATATGATAAAAATGGAGGATGGGGGCTTGCCAAGATAATTTAAACCAGTTTTCCAAACAAAAGAAAACAAGAGTTATTGCTGGAAAACTAAAATGTAGGCCAGGCCTTGGCAAATCCCATGTTATGTCTGAGTGAAAAAAAAACCAACAACCAGCAGCTTTGGTTCGAGGAATTAATTTTTCTGTTTTATTTGCCCTTTGGTTTTGGAAGTTTCCTTTCCCTCTTCTGTTCTGAGGCTTTGTACAGCTGTGGTGAGGTTTGAATTCTTCTCCCTTGTGTTCTCCCTACTGTCTGTCTCCTCCCCTGACACCAGGCAGTTCCTGCTGCTCTCCAGGAAATCAGATAAGCAGCTTTTTGAAAAGCCAGTGTTGCTGTGCTGTTTGGCACCAGTAAACAGGGAATATTTGCTGGTTGCTGTTGTCCTCAGTCTTCCCATAAACCACTCCCACGGACTCTACATCTTGCCTTCTCTTCTCCGCTTTGGGGGTGAAGGGAGGGAAAAAAATATGGGGGTGACAGACAAATAAAGTTGAATTTTATTTGATTGCCAAATCTTTGCTGCATTTTGTGAGCGGTTGAGAACCAGTAAGCGTTGAGTCTCAGCATCCAGCCTGGCCGTGTGGAAAAGCAAGGCAAACCCACCTTTCCCATCTCTCTCCGTGCACAGCACTGCCGGTTTGGGATGTGTGTGCCCAAGGAGCGGGAGGCACCGGTGACAGATGGAGCCTGGGGGACCTGGAGCCCTTTTGGGAGCTGCTCGAGGACCTGCGGCGGTGGCATCAAGACGGCGCTACGGGAGTGCAACCGGCCTGAGTGAGTGTGGAGGGGCAGCCCCGGGGGGTGGGGGAAAGAGGCTGGGTTGCCTAAACGGACTGAAATGTACCAGTACCCCCAGGTACCAGTCCAGGTTGGGGGCTGACCTGCTGGAGAGCAGTGTAGGAGAAAGGGACCTGGGGGTCCTGGTGGACAGGAGGATGCCCATGAGCCAGCAATGTGCCCTTGTGGCCAAGAAGGCCAATGGATCCTGGGGTGGGTTAGAAAGGGGATGGTTGGTAGGTCAAGGGAGGTTCTCCTCCCCCTCTGTTCTGCCTTGGTGGGGCCACATCTGGAATATTGTGTCCAGTTCTGGGCCCCTCAGTTCCAGAAGGACAGGGAACTGCTTGAAAGAGTCCAGGGCAGAGCCACAGAGATGCTGAGGGGAGTGGAACATCTCCCTTATGAGGAAAGGCTGAGGGAGCTGGGTCTCTTGAGCTTGGAGGAGACTGAGGGGTGACCTCATCAATGGTCGCAAATATGTAAAGGGTGAGTGTCAGGAGGCCAGAGCCAGGCTTTGCTCAGTGATGTCCAGTGATAGGACAAGGGGCAGTGGGTGCAAACTGGAGCACAGGAGGTTCCGTGTGAATCTTAGGAAGAACTTCTTTGCTGTGAGAGTGACAGAGCCCTGGGCCAGGCTGCCCAGAGAGGCTGTGGAGTCTCCTTCTCTGGAGACATTCCAACCCCCCTGGACACGTTCCTGTGTGATGTGCTCTGGGTGCCCCTGTTCTGGCAGGGGTATTGGGCTGGAGGATCTTTCCAGGTCCGTTCCAACCCCTGGGATTCTGTGATTCTGATTCTGAAATTCCCCCCCCCCATTGGCCTGTCTCCAGCCCTTTGTATGTTTTGCCTGTTGTGGATGAGGCAGCAGAGGAGCCCAGGAGGAGCTGGTTGCAGGTTTGGTTTGTGGGTCAAAGTGCGTTAGAAAGGGATCAATGCAATGGAAGAAGGAAAAAGCTAATGCCTAATGTTGGTTTCTTGCCTCCAGTTTTCCTGGGGAAGGCACAGCTGGGTGTGTGAATTGGTTCCACTGCCAAAGGTGTTTTTCCTCCTCCAAAACTGTGGATCAGAAAGGAGGCAGTAAGGAAGGAGCCATGTTTCTATCCATTTTTTACCATGTTACCCAGCTTTGGCTGCTTTTGCAGCTGTTCCTGCAGGCCAGTTCTTTCATACAGTTTTCAGACATTTTACTGCTTTGGCTGGTTTTGCAGCTTCTGGCAGCTTTTGCAGTGGATCCTTTACACAGTTACATGGCAGCTGGTACAGACCAGCCAAAGCTCAGCAGAAATCTGTGCCCCATTAAAAAGTGGCATTCCAAAATGTTGGAATGCAAAATTCTGCACCCGCTGACATGGCAGGGAACTTTGCTGTGGGCTTCAAGGAGATGAGAGAGATGGAGAGGGTCCAGAGAAGGGCCACAAAAATGATCAAAGGCCTGGAGCACCTCTGCTATGGAGACTGGATGAGACAGTTGAGGCTGGAGAAGAGAAGGCTCTAGGGAGGCCTTCCAGTACATGGAGGGGCCATAGGAAAGCTGGGGGAGGGCTTTTCACCAGAGGGGGCATTGACAGGATAAGGGGCAATGGTTTTAAGCTGAAAGAGGGGAGATTTAGGTTAGACATCAGAAAGAAGTTCTTCACCCAGAGGGCAGTGAGGCACTGGAATAGGTTGCCCAGGGAGGTTGTTGCTGCCCCATCCCTGGAGGTGTTCAAGGCCAGGTTGGATGAGGCTTGTGCAGCCTGGTCTGGTGGGAGGTGTCCCTGCTCATAACAAGGTTGGAACCTGATGATCTTTAAGGTCCCTTCCAACCTGAACCATTCTGTGATTCTATGAACGCGTGGCCAGCAAAGTATTAGTAAAAGGTTGAGCAACTGGTATGAAAACATGTTTACATGAATTGTGAACTGTGCTGGTTTGTGGTTAACTGCCTTCTTTCTGCCCAGGAGTGGGCAGCATGCTTTCCAGGCTCTCATTTGGGACTGAGACAAGGAGAGAGGGGTCTGCAGAGCTGGTTGGACTAAGGGATGTGAAAAGGCTTGAGCAGGCTTGTTCCACTTTCTTGTTATTGGTGTTGACAGCTTATTGCCTAGGAAATTGTCTGCAGTGATGTGGCAGTGACAGTTTCATCAGTGATAACGGGAGAAGGGAGAGCTTGTACCTGCAGCACCAGTGGTGAAGTGACAGCAGGGGCTGGCTCAGCACAGCTGGGCGAGTGTTGAAAGAGAAGGGGAAGGTTGAGGCTGAGGAAATCAGACACCAGCACGTTAATTAAAATGATGCAGAGAAACACAAAGTGCAAAGGAGTTCTCGTCTTGCTGTGCTGAGTCAGCACATGCCATATGGCCTTACAGTAGCCATGGAGACACAAAACTAAAATATGTTTCCACATGCAAAAATAGCTCTGCTGCTGAGCCTTTGGATTCTGCCAGTGACAAGTATTCCCATCTTCTGGAGAGGTATCTGTTCAGCCCTGATTGCTTCTTGTGATAGAAAATCTCCTTTATCCTAAAGGATAGCCAAAGGATTTGAAATTCCTTTTCTCTTACAGCTTGTGTTTTGTGTCTTGGTGTTTCGTGAGGTGTTTTGCTTTGGCCTGGGTTTTGCAAAATATAGCAGCCAAGCACCCAAATACACTAGGCACTGAGCTGCCTGTGAAGTCCCCTGTGCTTATCATTAATAGTGGTTCTTTTCCAGGCCCCTTTTTTGTGGGCTGTGTAGCTGGCACTGACCTCTTCTCCAACCCCTCATGCTGTCTCTATGGGGATCTTCTGACCTGGCACCATCCACAGAGCGTTACACCAACTCTGTTGCTTGTGCTCCCCATTTCACATCATGGCAGGCTCTCTCACCATCTGCATCCCCGTTATTGTGGAGCTGCTGAGATGATGCAAGTGGATGAGACACTGCTGAGTACTCTTCTGCCTCTCCCAGTTTTCAAATTACTTTGAAAATATACAGAATAGGTCTAGTCTCTGTTTCTTCTCTGTTGTAGAAGGCGGCAAAGCCATTCCAGATACCTTCAGTAACACCTGAAATAGTTCTCATTATGACTTTGAATATAAAAGATGGTTTAGCTTATTTAAGATTTTTTTAATTATTTTTTTGTGTGTGCATGAAGAACTGGGCTGGTATCTTGCATGCCAGTAAAATATTGTGGCACTGCAAATGAACCCCTCCCTGCCCTGGTACAGAAAATAAGGCTGCAGCTCCTGCTTCTGCTGGCAATGTGCTCTGACACCTACATGGATGAGTATCTTGCAGGGCTGCAGGAAGCTGTAAGCCTCTGAAATGGCAGCAAGACTGTGTTTTGACATACACCGAAGGAATGTATTAGCCAGATCCTTCCCACCAAGATTGCCCACTTGGGAATTCCAGGCTGGCTGGTACAGACAAAGCCCATTGCTGCAGCACGTCACGTAGAGGGTCTGCAGTGCAAGCCCTGGTTTTCAAAGCAAGACAGAGCTGCAGAATGATGGGGAACAGGCATATTTCATAAGATGTCAATGCCAGGAGCCCTGTGCTCAGGAATGGCTTTCTGGATGGGGGAATGTTATCTCTGGGTGCGAGTCAGATCACCTCTGAGTTTTCAGTCTGCCGCAAAAGTATCCACCTGATCCTGATGCTGTCTGAGCTGACATGTAAACACATCCATAGGTAACTGGGCTGGTCACTGGCAGCACAGGTACCAATTCCCAGTCTCAGGGCTTCCCAGGATTCTGCAGAGAAGATTTCAGCCTGCTCTGTGTGTGCTGGAGCTTCCCAGATAGCTCTGCAGTCACTGCATGAGCACAGGCACATGGACAGGTGTGCAGGTGAACACACATCCCCCACACCTGGTCTTCAGGGTCCTTCTGCTGCGGCAGCCCAAGGAAAGCTCCCTTCTCCCCCAAAAAATAAAAAAAAGCCAACTCTTGGAGAAGAGCCTGGATGTGGTACTCCTGGGCTGCTGGGAGCTGTGTCCAGGGAAAACCTTCAGGGTTAGTGATGGCAGCTGGCATTGTACATTTGAGACCTGCCAGGGTGGGAGTGAGGAAAAGACCCCACTGTTCTCCAGGCATCTCTGCTGTGTCCTGAGGGTGTCTGACATGCTGGGAGGAACACAGCAAAGCCAGGGTGTGCGTGGGAGCTCGTGAGGGGAATTAGGCTGGGTTGAAAGCAGGTTCACACTGGCCATTAGTTCACATAAAGGATCCAGAGAGAAGGAGAATGGAGAGAGACTGAGGAGGTTTCTCTGCATGCACTGCATCCCTTCTGCCTGTGTGCTACATCATTGATGGTTATCCATAAAAATAGGAGGTAGTGCCAAGTATCCCATATTCCTTTGTGACACTGAAAATCAATGTTATATCAGACAGACTTACTTTTCAGGGTTAGCTCTTTCTGTTTACTCAGACTCTCTGAAAAGCAGTTTGGGTTCAAAAACACCCTAAAACTGTCAGGGTGGTTTGGGACCATTTTGAAATGTCAGAAGTGAGAGTGTGATTCAGGCCTGGACGCTGGCTGCGGGGGGATTTACTGCCACAGTTACAAAGATGACAGTTTGCAACATGATGGCAAGTTTTAGCATCCTCCAGTTGGCAGTGTGTCCATGTGTTCAATGTTATCTCCATCTCACTGGTCATGTCTAGAGAAAAGGAAACTGCACAGTAGCTTGGGATCTTCGGATGTCGTTAGACCTACCCTTAAAGCAAATCCTGTGTGTTCTCCTTAACTAACTTAATATTAAAAGTCTCATTTTTATTACATTGATTTAAATTGGAAGCCATGTGGTTGACATAAAAAAAAACTGTAATTGCAATTTTTAAAATTTATTTATTTAAAAAAAAAAAAAAGCCCTATCAGAGGTTTGCATAATTTAGAGCTTTTATCAAACTGCAATAGTCCTCTTGTGTAGATGCTTTCAAAGTGAAGATGGTGAATCCTGTTAACTTCCCCTGAATGACCCAGGCTCACCAGTGTCTGGAGTGTGCTACTGCCACAGCTGGGAAGTTTCCCCATGTGCTGTGTTGTGAGATGGTCGAGGGGTCCCTTTGTAGCTGGAGGTAGATAATATGCCTGCTTGGGAATAGTCTGTGGGACGGGCTCCAGTGGTGGGAAGTCCCTGGAAATCATTGTGGTGCCTGCAAGGGATGAAAAGTCCATTCTGGAGTGGTCCCAAGTGTGCTCAGTTAAATTAAACCAAATTACTTGTCATGCCAAGGTGGAGAATAAACTAAATTGGTAGAAACCAGGGTTAGACTGGTTTTGCTCCACTATGAATTGGTGGGAAATCAGTCTGTAAACTGAAATCTGCATCGGGTGCTGTGTGGTTGCTTGGGCTTTTTAGCACTGCTGCTTGCTTAGGCTGCAATCAGATGATGCACCAGGATGATGAACATTTAAAGCAGTGCACATCTCAACCAGAAGAGGATGCTGGCAGGAAAAATCCCATGCGGTGGTGCTCTGCATCTCACCCACAGCTGCTGCCAGTGGCAGCTCCTCCTGCCAGACCCCTGAACATCTGTAGTGTGGTGCTGATGGGGCAGTGAGAAGCCTCCCTGTCCTTTCCTGCTTTGCAGGTAATCTTTTAGGAAGTGCAAGCTGCTCTATGCCATCATCCCCATATTTATTTCACAGGAGCTTTCCTACTTGAGTCAGAAATAGTTTTCAAACATTAAGAGTGAAGAATTGCTAGTTGTGGGGGAACAAGCACTGCTGGGCTTTGTAGTTGGTGGATGTGCCTGTACTTCAAGAGGTGCTAAGTTGTGTTCAGCTGCAGGAGCTGCTTGACTCGCTGTGTAAAGACCCTCCTACATGTGTAGGGGGTTTCTGTCTCTGCATCTGGAGATGCTGGGTCCTTGCAGGATGGAGAGCTGACAGTGGGCATCTCCATGCTAAGGGCAGAGGTAGTTCCCGTTTATCACTCATTGATTTACATTTTCGAGGGTCTCCGAGTGTGCAAGCTGGTTTCCCTCCCAAGGAGTTTCAATGGGAAGATGTGTTTGGCCAGCTTCCCTGAGGCACCAATGGGCAGCTGGTCTGAGGCAGAGCTGATCCTGAAGAAAAGCCCAGAAAGGCAGGAGCTGTAAGTGCCAGGACTTCAGTGCCTGGCAAGTCACTTTTCTGATCTGTGCTTCTTGCTTGTGCAGATGCTTGTTCTGTTCAGAAGTTGGCTAGAAGATGTAGATTTAGTGACTACTTTGGAGCAGAGGCTGGAGTTGGGCACAAACATCACCTTGAGCTTCAGGAGCCACACTCTGCCTCTGTACACGTGCCCCAACACAGCTGTCAGAGCACGGCAGCTCTGGCTGCTCAGGGTGCTCTTGCCCTCCACTGACTCCTCTGAGACAGTCTGTTAAAGGGAGAGGCTGGGACCAACCTCAGCTGGTGAAGGCTTTCCCATGCTGAGGGCTTAGATGAATGTTATCTTCATTGCACGTCCTAGTTGGTTTAATTTTTCCCTTTTAGATAATCACAGTTTTGCCCAAGTTGACCCTGCCAGCAATTCATCCAGATTGCATCTCTGTAGCATCAAAGAAAACCAAAGCTGCCTGGGTGGTACTGCAGTTATTATTATGCATATTATTGGTGGTAGCTTGGAGAAGCCTCCACCATGCCCACCCAATTTCATTTGAAGCTTCAGGAGAGAGCAGCAGAGACTGTGAGGGTTTTTTTTTAACATTTAAAGCACTCTGAATCCTTTTCTATTTTATTATTACAATTTATTATATACATAGAGGGCTGCACATCAACGGGCAGATGGAATCTTAGCAGAGTTCCTAGAAGAACTGTCTGTTGAGCAGACAGTGAATAGACTAGCTTGTATCCCAGGGGTACTTTCCTCTCAGCATTGCCATAGCTGAAAATGAGTCCTCACCAGAAAAGTGCCTTCTGCTGGGCTCCTCTGATGCCATCCACGTGCAGCTCCCACATGGCTGCTGACAGTAGTTGGGGTGGGAGAGGCTTTCTCAGTCCCTGACATGAGTTGTTACCTGGCAAAGGCTCTGTCTGCATGCAAGTACAGAAATAGAGTTATGACTGCAGCCCAGAATCTGGGAGTTTGAGAAATTCAACATGAGAATTTCTCTTAGACTTATTATCCACTGGCTTTTATGTGACTTGAATGATACCACTCTCCCCAGTTTTATACCAGAGTCATCATCTTATAAAACAGGGGTAAGGTATTGGTTGTCTTTGGTGCTGTCTGGAGTATGTGGTGATAAAGTTGTTTAAAAGTCTCCTTGCCACCATTTAGGGCTAGAAGACGTGAAGGACTAAGGGCTGCCTGGCCTTTCAGCCTCTGCAGGGAAGCCCCTTCTCCTTTCTGCTGTGATTTGTAGTTATGTGCAACCCAGAAGATCAAATGGAAACTCTTAAGCCGCTAAATCCATAGAATTGATGGTGGATGGTCCCATATGGGAACCCTTAGTGTCAAACTATATCCCATCAGGGAGGAAGATGTTGCTTTTCCTCTCCAGCTTCCCACTACCACTGCATTCATTGGAGAGGAAATATTCCCTTTTTCCTCTCTTTTTAGCATCACGTATGTGGTCATTTTTATTAGACACCTGCATAATCTTTCCTGCTGTCAGCACGGGATGTTAGTTAAAGACAGAGCTGTGTTTTAAATCCTGACTGTGCTGAACGGGTTCCAGAGCTGCATTTGGATCCTGTCTCTGCAGGCCTAAGAACGGGGGGAAATACTGCGTGGGGCGTCGCATGAAGTTTAAATCCTGCAACACCGAGCCGTGCTCGAAGCTGAAGAAGGACTTCCGGGATGAGCAGTGTGCCGACTTCGACGGGAAGCACTTCAACATCAACGGGCTGCCCACCAACGTGCGCTGGGTTCCCAAGTACAGCGGCAGTAAGTGGCGGCGGGGAGGAGTGGGATAGGGGAGATGCCAGTCCTGCCCCCTGCGTCGTCACCCTGGGGACGACGGTGTTTGGATAACAGTGCTTCTGGTTTCCCCCCCTCCCGTCCCCAGTCCTGATGAAGGACCGGTGCAAGCTGTTCTGCCGCGTGGCGGGAAACACGGCCTATTACCAGCTGCGGGACCGCGTCATCGACGGGACGCCCTGCGGCCCCGACACCAATGACATCTGCGTGCAGGGCCTTTGCCGGGTAATTGCTTCCCCTTCTCTTCGGCGAGGGTGCTTTTGCAGTTTCAGCGTGGCAGGGTGGCACTTCTGCACCACCGGGTTGTTGGCGTGTTCTCGTTGCTCAGGGGCTGCCTGTGGCAACCTGTGGATGTGCAGAACAGCCCTGCGGGGAGGATGTCTGTACATCTAAGTTACCGAGGGCCATGGAGGCCCAAGACTAAATCCAAATGATGCTTCCTCCTGTGCTCTGCTCTGGTTTTTCCCAGTCAGACTCCCAGGGCACTTTACATTTCCATTCACAATTATTTTTCACACTCTCCTCTGTGGGAACAACATTGCAACAGGTTTTTGTCTAGCGAAGGCATCGCCCGGTGCAAATGGCACTTGTGCTTCTAGCTTTATAAAAAAGCCTTTTGTTTGAAAATAGTGTGGGATGGCCACACTGTACATCAGCAGAAAAATGTGGGGAAGCAAAACAATTTGTCTCATGGCAGCCTTCTGCATACAGAGCTTTTGTGTGCCTTAATTGGGGGGTTTGTAAATGCTGCTCTGGTCTGTATTTGCTCAATCTAGTTTTCTCAATTTCCCCCTTACAGCAAGCTGGATGTGATCATGTGCTGAATTCAAAAGCAAGAAGAGATAAATGTGGTGTTTGTGGTGGGGATAATTCTTCATGCAAAACTGTTGCGGGCACATTTAACACGGTCCATTATGGTAAGAATCTGTTGCTAAAAACTTTATAGAGAAAAATGTGAGTCTATAAAAGCCGTTACCACACTTAATCCGCACAAACACTGATATAAAACAGAAAATCCTTCTAGCTACTGCATCTTCCATTTTATAACTATTTATGCTATCCCTAAATGAAAAGTATTGGCTTGTGTAATGTGAGGTAATTTTGCTCATTTCCCTTCCTCCTGTTAAAAAGCAAAAGAAATGTCAGTGTAATAGCCTTGAATTTCTGTTAAATCTTTTCTAGGCTATAACATTGTGGTCCGCATCCCAGCTGGTGCTACGAATATTGATGTGCGTCAGCACAGCTACTCAGGGAAACCAGAGGATGACAACTACCTGGGTGAGTTGCAGTCCTTGTTTTACTCCAGAACTCTGCTTCAGTGCCTGGTTGTGGTGATACATCTACTGACTGCTCTCTGGGGAGGAGGAAGAATTTATTGAAGGGACATGTTTTGTTTGCTAGAACTTAGCTCACGTATCTACCAAACATTCAGTCTTCTCTCACCTCCTTTTGTTCATGCTGCAAAGTTTGGGAAGCTGACAGATTACAGTATCTCCTGAGAGTGTCTCTGGGGCTGGGAGGGACTGTTGAGCCTGGGCTGTAGGTGGAAGCTGAGGCACAAAGCTGGGAACCAAACAGGCTTCTCAGTTCTCCTGGAGTCCTTGCACTGCAACTTAATACATCTCTGCTGTCACTGTGCCTTGGCTGGAGAGTAAATTTGCCATACTCTGAAAGATGTGTGTACAAACAAATCTAAACAGAATTTATTTTCTGTTCCTCTGACAATAATGATTCTGGTTTCACTTAGACTGAGCCCTTCTTGTCCCTGCCCAACAGTGATATGTAGCTGTAATGAAATACCCTGCGCCAAAGTTGTTTATTTGATTTAAACCTATCAATACCTTGGCCTTTGGCTGCTGGATATTCATAGTCACAGTTTTCTCCAGTCTGTGGGTATGTCTCTAGAGCCAGATGAAAATGCTCGTGGTGCTGTGTTAGACCAGCCTGCTGCAGGCACATATGCTTTTATCATGGCCATGTGTTTATTTTTAACCATGTTGACCAGTAACTCACCTCATACTGAGCTCTGCTGGGGTTCAGTTGTGGAGGTAACACAACCACATATTATGACTGTTGTTACACCTGCCAGTGGAAGGCTGGTTTTGTCCTGTAGCCCTGTTTGTGTCCCTTGGGGTCTGTTCAGGCTGCTGATGGAGCAGGAAGTCAGGCTATAGCCCTGTGTGGTCCCAGGGAGACTGTGCTCTCTGGCTCTGTTCCCTCATCTGCATGCCCTGTGCTTGGCACTGCCTGGGGTCCCTTATTTACATCCCTGAGCAGGGCACTTCATCTCATAGAATCCCCAACCTGTTGAGTGTTTTTTGCAAAATATGGGGCTTAGCCCAAGTGCTCACTGTAATTGGGAATGTTAAAAATGGGACTAGGCTGGTGGTTCCGAAGCCCATTGAAGGTAAAGGAACTCGCTTCAGAACAAGTAGAGGCAACTATTGTGCACCAAAGGGAAATAGTACTGACAGCTTTGGCAGTCGCTCTGAGATGCCATCCATGTAGCTGGACCCTTCATTCAGGCAAAAAGCTGAGAGAGTCTTCCCTGTCCTCATTCCCAGCCTGGGGTCATGCAAGGCTGGCTGTCCCTGCGTGCACGCGGCCGCCCGCTTCCAGCCTCCTCGCATCCTTTCCGCACATTGCAGCAGTGAAGCAGGTTGGTGCACCATGAATGCACCTCAATACCAAGAAAACCTGGCTGAGGTGTGATAGGTTTCCATCCTAGGGGAGGGAGATGCATTTCATTATTCATCTTTTCTAGACAAACAATCCTCCTTGTGTTGTACGTATTTCAAATGGCTCACCCCAGAAGGAGCCCCAAAGAACTTCTCATCTCTTCTTGGAGGGCCTTTAATCTTCTTGGGAAGCAATGAAGTAAAGTCTTCTTTAATGTTGCTTTAATATTGCTGGGAAATTATCTCTTCACATTAGGCCTGACTAGAAGCAAATGAGAAGTGTGCATGTGTCCGCTTATTTTGCAGCTCACTGAGTGTGAAATCTTGGGCCCTCAGTACCATGAACCTTGCAGTTGCTTAACAATTTAGGAGGAATTTGATGTTGTCATCAAGTTCAAGACATGTACCTACTGTTGTAGGAGATACAGTAAACGGGAAGGAATCTTTTAATGAGTTTTACTACTGCCTAATGACATTAAAGCCTCTGAAGTGTGGAATTTGATCGAGTATAGCGTCTGCTTTGTGAGTTTTTCTCCATCTATGTCTGTTTGCTACCAAGCACTGTTTTGCTTCATTATCTCTCCTCGTTTGGTGTAAAAACCTTCCCTTTGGTGTTTTGGTGTTAAGTTTAGATTTTTCAGTACAGAGGCTTTGTAGTAATGTAGCTATGATGGGTGAAATGGTGGGGAAACTAACTTAGGAAATTAGCTACATAATCGCATTAGTGTGAAGTTGTGCAGCAGACTGCTGTTTTCAGGAAACCATTCCTTTTATAAAGCATTTAGGCTTTAAGCCTCCAGTGCTTTCACATACCTTAAGATTTGGAATAATAAAAAGTACAGGGGGGAGGAGGGGAGAGGGGGAGATACTGACCAAACTCCCTGTAATTATCTACTAGAAAATGATGTTTGGGCAATTAGGCTACATGCATTTACCCTAAGAACACACCTGGAAACAACAGGGAAGCCACTCTTACCTGCATGGGTAACAAGAAGATTTGGGGAGGGTGATTTCTGTGGTATCTGAGGGGATACAGAGTGTGTGCTGCATGGAGCAACCAGTATGGCAGTGCCTTTTGGGCACCTCTCTGCCTGGGCTATGGGTGAACTATTTAGCAACAGCTTCAGGCATTCAGCCTTCATTTTAATGAGGCTCTCCAGTGGAAAAAAGGAGAAGGCACAATGTCTGTAAGAGCTCTGCTGCTCTCTTTACATCCTTTCTGTTTGAGAGTGCCAGTGGGCTCTTCCTCCCACCCCAATGAAGCGGAGCCCTGAGAGCACATGACCCACGTTATTATGTACGTATGAGTTAATTCTGCGTCTTTAGTTCTTGTTTTTTGCACCTATGCAGCCTTATCTAACAGTCATGGAGACTTTATATTAAATGGAGACTTTGTCGTCAGTATGTTTAAAAGGGAAATCAAAGTTGGGAATGCTGTGATCGAATACAGCGGATCGGATAATACTGTTGAAAGGATTAATTCTACAGATCGGATTGAGCAAGAAATAACGCTTCAGGTGAAGTACACGTTGTGTGTGGCAAAGTCTGCCCAGCATTATTGGACTGAAAGCAGTGGGCAACGACGTCTGTTGGTTCACTCTGCTTCATCTTTTTTTCCCCCCTCAGGTTTTATCAGTGGGCAATTTGTACAACCCCGATGTGCGTTACACTTTTAATATCCCCATTGAGGACAAACCGCAGCAGTTTTACTGGAACGCGTACGGCCCGTGGCAGCCCTGCAGCAAGCTCTGCCAAGGTGGGTGCTTGGGAGGGCTTTAAAGAAGACATGGTTTTGTCCTGGATTCATTGCAAGATTCTTTTCGAGAGGTATATAGTGATTTGATCGCTGCCCTGTGTGATTCACAGCATCTCTGGCTTGTTTTCCTGCCTAGGGGAGCGCAGAAGGAAACCCGTGTGTACGAGAGAGTCGGATCAGCTCACGGTGTCAGACCAGCGATGCGATCGAATTCCCCAGCCTGACCCCATCACTGAGCCTTGTGGCACAGAATGTGAATTAAGGTGCACTCTGCTCAGCCATGTGTATACATTACATCATATATGTATTGTTCATTCCCCTTTCCTTTCACTTCTCACCGTAATTCCTTTTCTCACCAGCCTGTATTAGATTTTAAAAAATAAAAGGATTAGCCATTACTAACCATTAAAAAAAATTCACCTAATGTTGAAAAACCCCCCTGTGCCTGAAATTCACATCTGCCTGGATCAGAAAGGTTCAGCACCATCCTACTAACAGCCTACAAAGAGGGAAGAACATATGCTAAAGGTAAAAGTGTAACAACTAGAGCTTGGATTTATCGCCACGTGCTTGAACTGAAGAATGGGCTTAAGTGTAGAGCAGGTTTTGGGACTGTCCCCAGACCAACTCCTGGTGAGCTGGAATGGATGGAGCACGGCCTAAGTCATTACAACCCATTTTCCTCTAAAAAAAAAACCAAGCTGTTTTCCTTTCTGGAGCTTAAATATGGTGGCATTAAACGGCTGCTGGTGAAGCAATTCAGATGGTTGTGTTTCCCAGGGGATTGGGGCTGGAGGCCGGGTTGTCTCGGTAACAGCTGTTGCCATTGCAACAGGTTGGAAACTTGAGCTGGGCAAATGCAGGAGTTTGAAAAGCACTCAGGGATGTGAGGGCTCACACCATTCAGGAGCTATTGACTCCAAATCCCCTTGATCTTATTCTTCTCCTAGCTGTGATGAAGTTTGCTCTCTCGGCTTAGGAGTGGGGCTTGCAACAAGCCAGGCCGTCTCCAGAACCCACTGCAGACATCACTGCCATCTTCTCCGAGAGTCACCCCAGCTCCTGCTTTTACCCCAGAGTCTCTGACATCTCCCTAGGTCAGGCCTTGCATCCAGCATCTCTTGCCAGAGCTGATATAAAGCAGGGGTATCCTTAGGTGGGGGGGTCCTTGAGGGCATGTTATGTTCAGAGTCCCACAGCTCCTTCTGCCTCTTCTGATCCTTTCCAAGGCAGGTGCCTTCACATGAAATCGTGGGGTTTTGCTGCATGAGAGCTGACATTTGCTTTCCCTGGCTCAGGTGGCACATTGCAAGGAAGAGTGAGTGCACAGCCCAGTGTGGGCTGGGCTACCGCACCCTGGAGATCTTCTGCTCCAAGTACAGCAGGACGGAGGGGAAGACGGAGAAGGTCGACGACCGCTTCTGCAGCAGCCAGCCCAAGCCGAGCACCAGGGAGAAGTGCACTGGGGACTGCAACGTGGGCGGGTGGAGGTACTCGGCCTGGACTGAGGTATGGGGTGCTCAGCAGCACAACAGACACTGTCTCCTCCTTGCACGGGGCTGTCAGGCTGTTCAGGCTGCATACAGCGCATAGAAGTTGGCCACAGTGATCCTGCTTCTGTTGCTTTTTCTGGAGGACACTGTAGAACAAATCAGCCTGGTAGTTCTTATTTTCTGATGTGATTAATTTATACTTTTAAGCATAGAATCAGAATTGGTTTGGTTGGAAGAGACCCTTAAGATTATTAAGTCCGACTGTTAACCCAGCACTGCCAAGTCCACAACTAAACCATGTCCCTCAGCACCACATCTAAACAGCTTTTAAATACCTCCACAGATGGTGACTCAAACATTTCCCTGAATAGTCTGTTTCAGTGCCTGACAACCCCTTCAGTGAAGAAATTGTTCCTAATATCCAATCTAAACCTTTCTTGGTGCAACTTGAGGCCATTTTATCTTGTAGTGTTGCTTGTTACTTGCAAGAAGAGACCCACCCCACTTGGTTACAGCCTCCTTTCAGGGAGGTGTAGGGAGTGAGGTGGTCTTTCCTTATTATACTAAACCTTGCTGGCACTCTTCTACCATCACAGACAGTCCTGCTGGCAGGAAAAAGGAGGACATGTTACCTTCAGTGGAGGACTTCTGAAAATTGTTACCTTTACACTTTTTTAGCAATGTATTTTTCCATAGCCAAAAATATCCCTGAATGCAAACCTAGAACTGGCTGGAATAATAAGCCTGGGACTTCCCAAGCAAGGCAAACCAAAGAGGGGCAGGCTGGTTAGAGAGAATTAATATCTCTTAAAATGAGAATAAGGAACAGCAATTTGAGAAAACTGAAAGGCAACACTTATAAAAGTAATAATGGGGTTATAACCCAAAATGAATTTGTGAAGCTCATTGCCTCCAGATTTTACTAAGCCTAACAGGATAGGATTTTATTAAAGGAATATATAAACTAACAGCCTGTTACTTAAAGTACAAATTGTTCTTCTAGAGGTCTTCTGCAGTCTCTTCACAGTTCGGACTGCACGGGAGTAAAAGGAAATAAATGGGCTCTCAGCCTGTAGTGGCAGAAAGTATTGACTCCACGTCTATCCTTCCCAGTGCTCCAAGAGCTGCGGAGGGGGCACACGGCGGCGACGAGCCATGTGTGTGAACACCTACAATGATGTCCTGGACGACAGCAAGTGCAGTCAGCAGGAGAAGCTGACAGTGCAACGATGCAGTGACTTCTTGTGCCCCCAGTGGAAAACTGGCGACTGGTCTGAGGTAGGTCCTGGTCACTGGGGTACGTGCTCACCCTGCTGGTCCTCCATCCCAAGGGGCTAGTGCCTGCAGGGAGATAGCCCTATCCTTGTTTTGTTTGTGCCTTGGGGTGTGGGAGCACCCTGCCTCCTGCAGAAGAGCCTCTTGCCTGTGCACAAGGAGGTTTGAGACAGGAGCAAAGTCACTGGTCTTATCACTGGCCACATGGCTGTTTCCCTCCCTGCAAAGCTACAGGGGGTTAATTCCTCTCCAGTCCTGCAGTAATTCCTCCGCAGTTTTTCCAGTGTTCTTCTACAGCTTTGGAAGAAAAATACCTTCTGCCCTCATTTTCCCTTGAGATTGTCCTCACAAGCCCTGACAGCTCTGGCTGTCACTGGAGGGCAGGATTTCACCCTACTCGCAGCTTGTTTAGCCCTCTCCCTGTCGCTTATTACTGTTACCTGTTCTAGTGCTGCTGGTGTCCTTTGCAATTCCACAAAACCATGTCTTGATAAGCATTTCCCTGCAGCAGGACTGGGGATGTCAGAGAACAGTCTTCAAAGATTGCTTGACTCCTTCATGGCCAAATAGCTCTCGTTTCTGTGGACCATGTTCTTTGAGCAAATATTGAAAGCAATTAGGTAGGAAGAGGGATCGTTCTCTGCAAAATATCTGTCTTCTGGATTGAGCTTCTGGCAGCCCAAGTCATGCCAGGGCTCATGCAGATGCTCTTGCAGCCCATGGGAGCTGAGACCCTCGTTGCACGCTCTCAGAGCTGAGCAAGTTTTTTGCAAGCCTTTGGCACCTCATTGCACACAACTAAAGCCCCATCGAGCAGTACTGTGGCTTTGCCTTGTATCTCACAGCTGCTGGAAGTGAAAAGCCTTCGTGATCTCCGTTTGTCCCTGCAAAAGGGTCCCAGCCTGGCTGCAATCTCCATGCTCCAGCCTCTGCTCTGCACCAGTTCCCAACAGCAGTCCCATCTTGTTGGAAGACCCTCACGTGTTTCCCAACACACGTGGTCATTAGCTAAACAGCCGCCTCTCAGCACCAGTTTTTAAGCAGTGGTTTGCAGTTTGAAGTGGGTCTCCAGGTTTGTTTTCCAGCTCTGGGGCTGGCAGCATATCCTGGCACTGCCTGAGCCTGTGCTTTCCTCCTGACAGTGCCTGGTCACCTGCGGGAAGGGGCACAAGCACCGCCAGACCTGGTGCCAGTTTGGAGAAGATCGGTTAAACGACAGGTTCTGTGATCCTGAAACGAAGCCGGAGTCGG